ATTCTGCAGAATTTGCTAACAAGTGGTATTGCTGCATGTCAAGCAAGGAAAGATAAACGGTAAGCAGGTCGTAGAATTTTTGTAGTTTTGAAAAAAAAAATTTTGACGTTCCTACTTCCACTGCTTACGTTATTTTATTTTATTGGGCGAGGGGTGGGCTGTCCTGAATAATTCAGCAATTTTTGGGTGCCACGAGTTCCTTGAGGAGCGGCTCGAATTCAGCCACCACTGAAGTCACGTATCGATGATACAAGTCGCAAGCAAACATGGTCACCTGGTTTGCAGGTTTTTTTCTTGTACCGTTTCTAGTTATGCGTTTATGGTGGGGCAGGGATTCAATTTATTTTTCAGACTGAATGCGCGCTTCTTCGAGAATGTCGATATCTCCGTAAGCATTTATCATATGTTGGAATAGAGGAGGGAGGATAGGGGGAAGCTAATTTGACAATTTTTTAGATCCGATTCGAACTGATGCTTTTGTGGAAAAATCTTTTCTTGTAAGTCATTTTTTGAGATTGGGATTCAAAATTGTTTGCTTGTTCATTTAGGGACAGTGCGGTGCTTCCAAGAAGTCGAAGGTTTTGTTAATGTGGTTTTGTGATTGTGGGTGCGGGAGGGATCATTTTTTTTCCAGACTCAAACCTACGGTTTTTGCGCGGGCTTTGGCACCTACTCCCGTAAGTCGTTCATTTATTATTGGATTGTGCGTGTGGACAGGGGTGGGAAGTAATCTGCAAATTTTTAGGGCCTGAACTGATGCTGTTTACGAAAATTTGAAGGCCAAGTTTCGTAAGTCGTTTGCCGTCTTCATTCAGGTTCAGAATGGTATTTTTAAGAAGCCGAAAATTTTAACTTTCACAGGTTGTGGCTGGAGGAGAATCAACTGTTTTGCAAAAACAGATCTGTGGTTTGCTTGAACCTGAGCATTTGTTTTCGTAAGGCATATATTTCGTATCAGTTTGAACGGGGTAAAGGTGGGGGAGGGGGAGGGGCTAATTTTGCTTTTTTTAGGCGCTGGTCTGTTACTCTTCCATGATCATTTGACCTTGGAGACCAACTTTCGTAAGTCATTTCCTGAGAATCGGTTTAGGAGGTGTTTCATTTACATTTAAGGAACAGAGTGGTATTTCTAGAAGTGCGCTTCTGTAAGTCATTTTTCTGCCCGTTAAGTTCTGAGACTGGGACGGGGTTTCGCTGTTTCGCGAACTAATCAAACAGCAATAAAATCAAATTTTTTTCGTGGACCAAGTTTTTTTGTTCAGCGCATTAAAAAACTCATCAT